CGGTCCACCTAATCCTCCTGCCCTTCTCATCCTGTTCCTTCCAACTATCACAGTCATCACCAGCACCATCCTGCCCAGTCGGGCAAAACGCGTTGGCTTCTCCGCGTGCTTGGAGGGTTCTCCTGCTGCCAGAGCGAAGAGGCCCGGCCGATACGCCTTGTTTCCCCCTGGGGCGCGCGCGCGGCCGGATGGAGGAGAGGCGAGCCTTTGGGGCAGCGCGTGGCGGCCACACGTGAGGGCCACACCGTCGTGGAAACGCAGATATGGATCAAGGCTCGCATCTTTCGGTGCCGGTGCGCTGCCGGTCCTGCGCAAGCACCGCTCCTCATCGTCTTCCTCCTCCTCCTCCTCCTCCTCCTCCTCCTTCTCCCCCTCCTCCTTCTTCCCTCCCTGCCTCCCGCCCTCCCTGCCTCCCTCCCCCACCTCCCCTCCCCTCCCCTCCCCTCCCATCCCTCCCTCATTCCCTCCACCCTCCCATTCGCCCGGCGGCTCGAGCTCCGGCCGCAGAACTTTTTGCTTGCAGGCCTCGGCTCCGCAGTGGGGGAGGGCCGCTCCGACGGCGGCCATGGTGGACGCGCTGAAGCAGGCTGCCGCCGCCGCCAGAGGAGGGCGAGGGAGGAGGGCGAGGGAGCAGGACGAGGAGGAGGGCGAGGGAAGAGGAGGAGGAGGAGGAGGAGGAGGAGGAGGAGGAGGAGGAGGAGGAGGGGGAGGGGCGGCGGATGGCGCTTCCCGGATCATTCGTGCTCCTCGTCTTCTTATCCTTCTTCGTCTTCTTCGTCTTGGTCCGAGTATCATTCTTCTGCGTACTTCTTCGGAAGTAGGAGGATGGGTAATGAGGAGGAGCAGCAGGGGCAGCAGAAGGGGAACATGACGAGGAGGAGAAGGAGGAGAAGAAGGGGGAGGAGGATGAAGAAGAGCCAGGGAGGAGAAGAGAGAGGAGAAGTACAGGGAAATGGGGGAGGAGGAGAGGGAGGATGAGATTGAGAACGAAACAAAAAGTGAAGGTGGAGGGGGAACCTTCCCCCCTGCACCCTCCATTCCCTCATCCCTCCCCTACACTCACCGGCACGCAGTTGCAGCGCCCATCTCGAGTCAAAAGGGGCCCCCCCACTCCTCCCCTCCTGCCTCCTCCTAAACCTCCTCCTCGCGCGCTCGAGAGAAGTTGTATCCTGCCCTGGCCTCACCCAATGACCGTGGAGCAAGACCCGATTACGTAGTAGCGGCAGGATCTTACACGGACACCCTGCAGCTGACATGAAGCAAAGGTCCGACTGCCCCCGTCGCCCAGCACATTAGGTGTAAGGCACAACGCCTAGCAACGCAGAGTATTTAACAGGGCACCCCCACACATCTCCCCTAGCATACAGCGTTCAGACCCAACCCCTGCCCTGCGTCAGCCGCCCCAACGGGCTGGGCCTCGAGCTGGGAGTCTTGGTCGAGAGGTGGGAGCCCGACCCGAGAAGCGGTTATCCCCACCGGCTGATCCAGACATGATCGAAAGCCTTCTTGAGGCCTCTTGGAGGCTATCTTGAGCCATGCTCAGCTATCTTGGGCCATTTGAGGATGCTTTGAGGCCTCTTTGAAGCCTGTGGGATGCTATCTTGAGCCATGCTCGACCTCCTGGGACCATCTTGGGGATAGGAGGAGGAGGAGGAGGAGGAGAAGGAGGAATGCGGCACGAGGAAGATGAGGAGGAGGAGAAGGAGGGAGGAGGCAGGAAAGGATGAGTGAAAGAACGGACGATGACAAGGAGGATGAGAAGTCGGGCCTTGGAGATATATGTTGTTGCGAGAGGTTCTCGAATGTCGATTCAGGCAGTCTTAGGGGCTCTCTTGGGGTCCGCGTGGGGCCTCATGTGGCCCTCTTGGGGGTCGGTTTAGATGTTTTGGGGGCCCTCTTGGAGCTCATTGGAGGGGTCTGCGAGGCCTCTTGGCCCTCATGGCTCGAAAAGATGTGGCGCCCCCCCCCTCGGAGACTCAAAAATGGCGTCCTGGGGCCGCTCTTGGGCGTCTCTTGGACGCTTTTGGGGCCGTCGTGGGGCGCTCGTGAGCCCCTTCTCGGGGCCTGAGGCCACCTTGAAGCCTCGCAAGCCCGTCGGAAGCGAAAAAACGAGAAAGCAAAAAACAGTGCTTCTGTTTTGGTTGTTGATGGATTTGGGCCTCTCGGAGGGTGCCTGGGAAGGCTCGAAGTGCACTTGGAACCGTCGTTGGGCTGTCTGGGAGCACCCTGGAGGCCCAAGCGAGCCAGGCGCGCCAGGTGCGGCACGTATTCCACGTTGAAGCAGTATGCCAGCACCCCCGCCGTCCCTTTCAGAAACCAATGCAAAGTGGTCGCGGGGAGGCAGGGTGCATTCATTTTTGTTTTGTGTCAAGGATGGTTGGCCTGCGCGCAGCGAGGAATGTGACGGTACCCCCGTCCCTGTCATCAACCAATGCAAAGTGGTCGCGGGGCGCCCGCGCACGCTCCAGACGTGGAGGCAAAGAGCACTATGCACTGTTTTTCTGGCAAGGATGGTTGGCTTGCGCGCAGCGAGCAATGTGACGGCACCCCCGTCATCCTTGTCATTAACCAATGCAACGTGGTCGCGGGGCGCCCGCGCACGCTCCAGATGTGGAGGCACAGTGCATGTTGGATGGTTTTGTTGACCAGGACGGCGGGGCGGGGGGGGGCGTGTCTCGGGTTAGCCCGCAGTCGGGTGGGGGAGGGATGTACACTGATAAGGAGCAAGGATCTTGGCATCGCTCGGACGTGTGCATTTTTCCTTAGGCGAGGACCATTGAGGAGCATCCTTGATCATTTGGCGAAAAAACCACGCACGAAACCGAAAAACACAGGGAATGGACGTCCGAGCGATGGCCAGGGATTGATTAAGGCACTCTCCCCGCCCTCCAGCCGTCTCGCTCCACTCCCACCGCAAAAGTAGCTGGCGCCTGAGCCGCAGCATGTTCAGCGGTCGTCTTTGGATGGACTGCGGATGGCAACCAAAGCAGATCCCATGTGCGCAAAGCTGGGGCGAGGTGCGCCACGCGTGCCAGTCGCACCACGCGAGTCAGGAGCCTCAGGCAACCCTTGTGGCCCAAGCGTGCCAGGCACGCCTTGCGCGCCAGATGCGCCACGTGATCCACATGAGCCATGTGTGTCGCATGCTCCAGCCGCGCCAGGTGCGCCACGTTCAGGGCACGCGCAGAGGGTACCAGGTGCGCCTGCGCACGTGGCAGTGCACATCGGGAAACACTTCGGCCCCCACCACCCTTGTCGAAAACGAGTGCGCAATCGCGGCGGGGTGGCCATCATAGTGCTTGGTGGGCTTGCGCGCAGCAGGCAATCTGCCACCACCACCGCCGCCCCAGTCAAAAACCAATGCGCAGTGATCGCGGGGTGCCCCAGCATGATCCGAGTTTGCCTCGAAGTGCATGTTGCATTGATTATTGCAAAGGATGCTGGCCCTACGCGCAGCAGGACAGGCAATCTGTGGGCACCCTGGCCGTTCCTGTCAAAACAAACACTACAAAGAGCTTGCGCCCCCCCCGATCATGACCCAAGATTTTGCGCAAAAGTTGACTTCAAATTGATTGTTGGCGGGGATGGCGGGGGGCTCCTCATTGGACCTGGTTGGCTGCCGGTCGCTTGGGGGAGGGGGTGTTTATTCATAGGGAACAGTGATAAACACGTCCCCGAGCAGGGGAAGGAGGGGTAGAGAAGACAAAACGCATTAAAACACCTACACCCAGAGGGCTGGTGGGATTCCTGGTTCGGTTTCTTCGCTCCCTTGCCCAAGGTCTGCCCAACTGGCCCGCCATCGCGCCAGAGCCTGGAGGAACAGGTCGCGGCAGGCCCGGTTTCAAAGCCAGGCGTAAGGCCCTTGGTGGGAAACACCTTGGCCGTTGCGCCTCCGCCTCCCCTGATCTCCATTGGGTCCTGGGGCCGAGGGTGGTGGTCCTCTCTAAGACGACAAGCCCACCAGCGGGTTTGGGTTCAGAACAAACGGGTGCGAGCTCTGCCGCACTCGCGTCATGATTGCTGCCTCGTCGAAGGTCCGACAGGACGCTGAAAAGTGTCCAGGTGTTGAAAGCCGCACGGGCAGCATGTGTGCATATGTATGTGTATATATATATACACATACATACATACACATTTGACAGGCGCGTTAAAGAGAGTTGTACCATGTCCTGTCGGCCTCTTGGGAGCCCTGGAGGGCCTCTTGGTGCTGTCGTGGAGGGTATCGGTGAAAAGAGGGGGGGTCCTATCGTTTAGCCCCCCTATTATCTGGGGACGCTCTTGGGCCCCTGTTGAGGCGCTCTTGGGCGGTCTTGGGGCCGTCTTGGGGGCATCTTGGGCCCCTCTTGGAGCTCTCTTGGGCCATCTTGGGGCCACTTTGACGCCTCAAAAGCTCATCGGAAGCGAGAAGGCGAAAAGGCGCAAATCATTGATGTTCCGCAGGTTTTTGAAGGATTTTGGCTTCTCGGGGAGGTCCTGAGGGGTGTCTTGAGGGCACCTGGAACCGTCTTGTGGTCCTCTTGCGGCAACTTGGAGGCATGTTGTTGGCTATATTGAGCCATGTTTGGCTATCTTGGGCGATTTTGGAGGCTATCTTGGGCTCTCTGAGGCCCTCTTGAAGCCATCTTGGGCGAAAGAGGACCCTCTGACACCTCGCGCCCCCCCCCCCGTCCAGGTCCAGGGGAGGGGGTATGGGGGAGGGGTCAAGCTTCCCACCCGCCCGCAAGCCGTCTTGCTCACTCCCACCCGCCTTCCCAACACATACGTAACACCCAGGAGTCGGCATATCGCGTAAGAGCGCCGCAGACGCCACGGGTTCCAGATGCACCAGGCCCTGGAGGCCCAAGCGTGCCAGGCGCGCCAGGTGCGGCACGTGCTCCACGTGCGCCAAGTGTTCCACGTGCTCCAGCCGCGCCACTTGCGCTAGCCACTTGGAACCAATAGGGGCTCTTGGGCCCGGCTTTGAGCTTTCTTGGCCAATGTTGGAGCCATGTGGAGGTTTCGAAAACCCATCGGAAACGGTAAGGCGAAAAGGCAGCAGCCACTGATGTGTCAAACCAGTCGGTCGACCACCTGCGCCCAGAAGGCAGGTGGGAACTGCTGGCACCCCAGCCGTCCTTGTAAAATACCCATACCTAGCCCCCCCGCAGTTGCGGATAAGAGTGAGGGGGCGGTGGGGACGTCGGCAGTCGGCGAGGCTCTGAAGAAGCCCGCCGCAGGCGCAGATTTTTTCAAACTATATAACGAGCCCGCCGCAGGCGCAGATCTTTTGTTAAAACAGTGTGGGTGGATCGCGGGTTGGGTCGCAGGAAGGTCGCGGGTGGGTCGACGGTGGGTCGCGGATGGGTCGCGGGCCGGGTCGCGGGTGGGTCGTGGGTGGGTAGCGGGTGGGTCGCGGGTGGGTCGCGGGTGGGTCGCGACCGGGTCGCGAGGTGGGTCGCGGGTAGGTCGCGGGTGGGTCGCGGGGTGGGTCGCGAGAGGGTCGCGGGTTGGGTCGCAGGTGGGTCGCGGGCCGGGTCGCGGGGGGGACGACGCAACAAAATAAGCATAATCTTCGCCGTGGATCCCCACTTCAGCCACGCACCCAGGGACAGGGAATGACCGTTCGGCCCCCACACTTTGACGTAGCGCCCCGCAGTTGCGGGTAAGAGTGAGGGGGCGGCGGGGACGTCGGTAGTCTGCGAGGCTCTGAAGAAGCCCGTCGCAGGCGCAGATTTTTTCAAGCTATACAACGAGCCCGCCGCAGGCGCAGATCTTTTGTTAAAACAGTGTGTGTGGGTCGCGGGTTGGGTCGCAGGTGGGTCGCGGGCTGGTCGACGGTGGGTCGCGGATGGGTCGCGGGCCGGGTCGCGGGTGGGTCGTGGGTGGGCAGCGGGTGGGTCGCGGGTGGGTCGCGGGTGGGTCGCGAGCGGGTCGCGGGGTGGGTCGCGGGTAGGTCGTGGGTGGGTCGCGGGGTGGGTCGCGGGGGGGTTGCTGGATGTCGCTGGTTGGGTCGCGGGTGGGTCGCGGGCCGGGTCGCGGGGGGGACGACGCAACAAAATAAGCATAATCTTCGCCGTGGATCCCCACTTCAGCCACGCACCCAGGGACAGTGAATGACCGTTCGGCCCCCTCACTCTGACAAAATGGTCGCGGGGCGGCCGCGCATGCTCCAAATGTGGAGGCAGAGTGCGTTCTGCATTGTTTTTTGACAGGGATGTTGGGGTGGGGTTCCGGGTTGGCCGCCGGCCGGGTGGGGGAGGGGTTGTATATTGATAGGGAGCGGTAAAAAACCCATCCCCGAAGGGGAAGAAGGGGTTGTGGAAGAGAAAAGAAAGACATCGTTAGACCACCTGTCGCCCAGAGGGTTGGTGGGACTCGTAAGTCAGGTGTGCCGGTGCTCCTCTTCATCCCTGAGACAGGATGGTGCCAGGGTGGGCCAGGGCCAAGAAGACATCCTGGACGAAGAGAATCGAGGAGAGTCCTTGCGCTTTTCGAGCAATGAAGCAACACACGTGAAGAATCAAGGGCCGGGAAGGAGGAGGAGGAGGAGGAGGAGGAGGAGCATTAGCAGGAGAGAGAGGAAGAGGAATCCGAGGAGTAGGACTTGGAGGAGGAAGAAAAGGAGGCGGGCGAGAAGGAGGACAAGGAAGAAGGCTAGGAGGAGGAGCAAGAGTGCGAGGAGGAGGAGGAGAAGAGGGCGGAGAAGGATGAGGAGGAAGGAGGGGGAGGAGGAGGATGGCGAGGACGAGGACGGGGGAAAGGAGCACGAGAAGACGGACAAGGGGCAGGATCTGTGCAGCAGCCCACGTACACCCAGACTGGTGGGCAAAGCCAGCCTCAGGCCACCCAGAAAATATGAGGAAGGGGACAAGGAGGAGGAGGTGGAGGAGGAGGGAGGGGCGGGAAGGAGGAAGGATGATGAGGAGATAAGGAGGAGGAGGGTGGATGAGGAGGGGGAGGAGGAGAGAGGAGGAGGAGGAGGAGGAGGGGAGGAAGGCTAGAGCGGAGGGAGGAGAGTGAGGAGAGCGGATGTGTGGACAGGAGGGGATAGGAGGAGGCGGAGGAGGAGGAGGAGGAATGAAGGGGATGCGGGAGGGGAAGGAGGGGGGTGGAGGAGGAGGAGGCTCTACTGCCCGTTCGCGCCCTTTCTCCCTTCCGCACGCCCCGTCGCAGATGCAGCGCTCGGATCCCGTTGCCAAAGAGCAGTGGCATGCCTACTGCGAGGCGTACGGCAACGGCATCCGCGACCCGAACAGGGCGGCGCGCTGCTGCTTCGACCTCCTCCTACTCCTCCTCCTCTGTCCCCCCCCCCCGCCCCCCCCCCCCCCCCCCCCCCCCCCCCCCCCCCCCCCCCCCCCCCCCCCCCCCCCCCCCCCCCCCCCCCCCCCCCCCCCCCCCCCCCCCCCCCCCCCCCCCCCCCCCCCCCCCCCCCCCCCCCCCCCCCACACAAAAACCCCCCCCGCCCCCCCCCTCCTCCTCCTCCTCCTCCTCCTCCTCTTCCTCCTCCTCCTCGTCCTCCTCCTCCTCCTCCTCCTCCTCCTCGTCGCTTTTGTGCTTGACTGCTGGTCCGTAAACGGTCTTACCTACTTCTAGCAGCTCAAAAGTTTTGTGTCGGGGCACTTCTGTCCGAAGGGGATACCTCCGTACTGTGTGCCGTGGAGCGCTGGGCCCCCCACGTGCGATAGCACCGCAGATATGCGCAGTCGAGGAGCTAGAACGATTGTTTGTTACATTCATCTGGCACGCTCTCACCCGTGGTCCTGATGATACCGTCGCCGCCTCTCTCCTCCGATGTCCTTTCCTGCTGCTGCTGCACTGCTGAAAAGAAAAGTTCTGAAGCGCCCACCATGCGAATTTGACACTCCCTCATCGAGCCGCCCCTCCGAGAGCACAGCGGTGCTGCTGCACAAGCTCGAAGAAGGGGTCGAGGGGTACAAAGAATACCGCCCCCCCAAGGCGGCATCTCCAAGCCTGAGGGCCCGTCAGGAGTACGATCCGCAAACGCATCCAGGAATGCCAAAGCCAAAAACGTAGAGAGCGCCCGGGGATACTCCTTCAGGCCAGAAGTGCGGTACTGTCCCCTCTGTCGCCCAGTCGCCGCCATGTGCCTTCCTGGATGCTGACACCATCCCCCACCTCTGAACACCCCGGAGCAATCTCTGAATGCCCTCCATGTCAACCGGCAGAAGAGTGGTGGGTTTCGAGTAATGGCAGCCAAACGTGCATTGATCGATGTCGAAGGCCCTCACCGCTCTAAGCGAACGGATCCAACATAACTCCTCAAGACTCCAGCTCAAGGCAGCCCTCGGATACCCCATCACTGCACACACACACATTCAAAATGACTGCCATCGCAACACACAAACACACACACACACACACACACGCACATCGAAATGACTGCCATCGCAAAGATCCTCCTTTTCCTCCTCGCTCCTCCTCCTCCTCGCTCCTCCTCCTCCTCCTCCTCCTCCTCCTCCTCCTCCTCCTCCTCCTCCTCCAGACCGAAGGCGGCTCAAATGCATTTTGGATGGGTGCTGGCGCGTCCCTCCAGCGCTCTGCGCTGGCCCCACAGGGACGGGTGCTGCTCGCAGAAGGCAACCCTGAGATCCGACGTAGCGAAAAATTGCAACACCTTGAAAATCCACGCCTGGAGACCTAGACCCCACATTTCTGCTTCATGCTTCGAGCCGGACCGATCGGTGAGGGCTGCGGGGCCCGAAAGAAGGCGAGAACGCCCGGCTCGAAAAAATTGAGACACCAGGATCTCGGGGAACAGCCAGCTGGGGGGGGGGGCGGAGGGGCGAGGCACTGGCCGGCCAGGGCCCACAGCTTGCGTTGCCCGGGAGCACGGCGGCCCACACGACGACTGCGCAGTAGTCCACCGGCTGCCCGCGGCCCGCGCTCGGCCGCCCAGCAGCGCCGCGCCGCCGCCAGCCTCCCCCCGCCGTCGGGCGTCAGGCCGCGGCCGCCGGCCTCCGCGAGCCCTGGCCGCCGTCGCCCAGCGCCTCCGCGGCCTTCCGCGCCTCGTGCCGCCGCCTGCGCTTGGCGCCTGTCCGCGCGCACGCGTTCCGCGCAGCCCGGCAGCGCGCCGGAGCTGCTGAGCCCGCACCGCTGGTGGTGGAGGAGGAGGAGGAAGAGGAAGAGGAGGAGGAGGAGGAGGAGGAGGACGAGGAGGAGGAGGAGCGAGGAGGAGGAGGAGGAGGAAAAGGAGGACGAGAAGGAGGAGGAGGAGGAGGATGTGGAGCGAGGAGCGAAGAGCGAGGAGCGAAGAAGGAGCGAGGAGCGAGGAGGAGGAGGAGGAGGAGGAGGACGAGGAGGAGGAGGAGGACGAGAAAAGGGACGAGGAAGGAGGAGCAGGAGGAAAAGAGGATAGAAGGAGGATGAGGAGGAGGATGTGGAATGGGGGGGAACGGAGTGGAGGGGACGAGGATCGAAAGAGAGCGGGAGCGAAGGAGGAGCAGAAGCTAAGGAGGAGGAGGGAGGAGGAGGAGGAAGGAGGGGGAGGAGTGAAGTGAGGAGGAGAAAGGAGGATGAGGAGGACGGCGGAGGAGAAAGGGAGGTGGGAAAATGTGATATGAGGAGGAAGACGACGAGGAGGAGGAGGAGGAGCAGCGAGGAGGAAGAGGAGGAGGAGGAGGAGAACTAGGAGAAGGAGGAGGAGGAAAAATAGGAGGAGGAGGAAGAGGAGCGAGGAGCGAGAAGCGAGGAGCGAGAAGCGAGAAGCGAGGAGCGAGGAGCGAGGAGGAGGAGGAGGAGGACTGAGGTGATGCCACCTGCTTGCATTTGCGAGCCGCTGCTTCCCCCCTTGCCTTCCCGCGCGCCTTGGTCTCTGCAGCCAGGTTCTAGTGGATCATCCAGGAGCTGACGAACCGCTGAGAAGGCTTTGTCCAGCTGTGCAGCCACAACGACAAGCTCATCATGCAGATTTGCCTGGTCCCAGTCTGGGAGCAGATTAAACAGCCGCATGATCAATTTACTCCAGATTGTGAGCTTGGACATCGACAGCGCCATCATCGCGGACAACGGGCACAAGAACTCCAAAGGCGAGTCCCACATCCGCTTTGTCGTGAAGCCCCTTCTGGTCCGGTCCGACGGTTTCTCTGCTACGTCGCAGGCCATGCACCCTGCGTTGGTGGAGAGCCCCGAGCGCCAGACGCGCGCCGAGTTCATCGGGTCAGTCCTTGCGCGCGAAAAGGGGGAGTCTCCCAGCGAGCAGCCGCCTGTTGAAGGTGGCGCGGTTGGTTCGTGCTCTGCGGCGATGGAGAGCGAACCCTGCGCCGAGGAAGAGATTGATACCGACGTGGTGAGGCCCCAGCGGCACGGAAAGACCGACGCTCCCCGGCAGCACTGCGAGAAGCATACATTCGTTCCGGGCATGGCCGCGCGCCTTGGCGGCCTCAAGGCCAGGCCACTGCTAAACGGGCGCGAAAGCACCCTGAGCTTCTACGACGACGCTTTTGACCGCTGGGCCTTCAAGAGCGACGATGAGGCCACATTAGCGTCAAGGCATCCTGTCTCGAGCCTAATCGGCTGCCGCGCGAAGAAATATTTGGGAATTGCGTTCCAGACGGCCGCCGTAGATGCTACCGACCAGGCGTTCCAACTGTTGCACAACCTTCCTGTTCAAGGAGGGCAGCCAGGGGTGGCCGCGTTCTTCCTGACTCTACTCGGAGGCAAGACCACCTTCGACGAGATGTATTGCCACATGGCCGCCAGGAGCCCTGCTATCGTCTACCAGTGAGTGTCCCTCAGGAGCATGTTTGCTGTCTCGACTCGCTGTGCACCCATGCCTATCGGGGATGCAAAACTAGAGACTGACGCTGCTCATACTTATGGCTAGAGAGTGGCGTCGCCGATGCGCCATTCCCTCTGCGCCCGACGTCTGCTGGGTTGCGCTTCCCATCAAAGCTGCATGCGCCCCCGCGGTTGTCGAGGTTGCGCCTCCCGTTCGGGTTTCTTGTTACATGTGCTACTCGATCCCTGGGGCGAGCGCTTCGTTTCCAGTTTTTGCGGGCGAGTATTGGCTGCGTTTCTTTTGCAGGATGTGGACGCATCAGACGTTCGTTCTCAGGGCTGCGGGAAGGCGGAGGGGGAGGAGGAGGAGGAGGAGGAGGAGGAGGGGGAGCGACAGGGAGGAGGAGGAGGAGGAGGACGACGAAGATGAGGACGAGGACGAGCACGAGGACGAGGACGACAAGGAGGAGGGAGGAGGAGGAGAATGAAAAAATGGGGAGGAGGAAGAAGAGGAGGAGGAGCGGAGTAGGAGGAGGAGTAGGAGAAGGAAAGTGCGTGAGGAGAAGAGGACGAGGAAGGAGGAGGAGGAGGAGTAGGATGAGTAGCCGCGAGGGCTCTTCTTCTTCTTCTTACGTCCTTCTTCTACTTCTTATTTTTTTTTTTTCTGCCTTGCTTCTTCCTTCTTATTCCTCTTTGCTTTTTTCTTTCTATTTTCTTCCAGGCCTCGTCACTCGTGTCCTCCTTCTCCTTCGTCGTTTTTGAGAGTCTTCTTGCTGCGTTTGAGCGTCGTTCTGCATGGCGTCACGGATCGATTAGGCGGATCACGCATGCGTCGGATTCGTTGTAGGAGCACAAACGCTGACCGTACTGTAATGATTCATAATTGGACTCCGGCCCGATACGCCTGGCCCTGGTGGACAGCAGACTTATAATGTGTCTGGTGCCGGGGTCGCGGGTTCAGGCAAAGGAGAAACGAGGAGGAGGAGCAGCGAGGAGGAGGAGGAGGAGGAGGAGGAGCGAGGAGGAGGAGGATGAGGAGGAGGAGCGAAAACGAGCAGGAGGAGGAGGAGCGAGGAGGAGGAGGAGGACCAGTGTAAACCCAAGAGTCACCAACGATGTTGGAGAGAACCCTCTCACCAAGCTCCCTCTTCACAGGCCCCTACAACGATTCATTTCTACAGGGACCTGCCCCGTTGGAAGACAACCGTTTGAAAATCCTGTAGCATGCCAAAACGTTATTCTCGATATCCCAACGCCACGGATGAACCTGACTGTTGCGTCTTGACGATCCTGAATCGTGTCAAAACGCCATTCATCGTAACTGTTGCGCTTTCAAAATCGTGAACCCTTCCAAAACGCAATGTTTGGTACGTCGGTCATGGGAATCCGTAAAACGCTTGAAATGGTTTAACACGAAGGTGCGCGGCGCGAAAGCGAAATCCACATTTTGCAAACAACCCGCCCTCAATCCGTTAAACTCTTGCACATTTCTTTAAACAAATGTGCGCGGAAGGCGAGGG